TATTTTTTTTTTTTTTTTTTTTTTTGGCAATGTTGGGGATCAAACCCACGGCCCCATGCCAGCCAGGAAAGCACTCTATCACTGAGCCCCCAAGCCAAGCATTTTGAGAACGTTCAATAGCAGTAACAGAAGGACAGGATTTTTCTTTCACTTATGTGCACTGAGAAAGGCCATATTCAAAAGCATTCACCAAATAATACCCAACTGTTAAAGCAATCTTGAGCTTACCTCATTTCCAGCTGCTGACCTGATACTGGGTCCACTGATGGTGGGCAGTTGTAGGGCTATGGGTCCCCAGATGCCCGGGGATGAGGACTGTTGAAGAATTCTTTGGTGGCTGGGTGGGAAGAAGCGGTCCCTTTGCTGAGGAAATGGAAATAAACTGCACAGGTGCTGTAAGCTCCATATGGGCGACACCCCTCCCACCCCACCCCCTTCTGTTCCCAAACACAAATGAGCCGCTCATCCTTTCTCTTCATATGTGCGGCTCATCTCTAACCCTACCCGTCTCGGTCTCCACCCCTGGGGAGGTTCTGTGCTAGGGAACCCCTGCTTCCTGGGTGCACACCGCTGGACTGCTGGCAACCAGGGCTTCAGAAGAAGGTTCCCAGGAGGGGTGAGAGAGGGTGAGAGATCACTGTGCTGCAGGGGCCATGCTGTCTGCCCTTGCTCAGGACAGACAGGTCTCACCTCCAATGCTAGATGTGGTTCTGAGGTGAATGTCCCCACACAGAGAAGGGCTAGGCTGGCTGAGGCAATCTGGAGCTGGCTTTGAAATCAGCAACAGGGAGGGGGCAAAACCTCACAACAAACAGTGGTGACAGAAGGTTTGTGTGGGAAGACAGTTAAGTTTGGTCTAAAACATGCAGAGTCTCTGGTAATGAGCTGTTAGAAATACGTAGGGCCCTCAGTGCCCAGGCTCTGAGAGCACTGTTGCTGCCTCTCAAGGGCTGGGGTGTCAGGGGATGGGGGAGGGCAAAGTGAGGCGACACAAAAGCCCCACTAAAGAGCACGAGAACATTAACAGAGCCTTGGAAAAAACACCAGTGTATGTGATGGGCACACAGGCCCTGCTTTTGAATCCTGGCTCTACTCTGTGTCACTGTGCAACCTTTGGGAAATCCTACCTTGTCTAAGTCACAGCTGGCTCCCACATGAAATGAGGACATCTAAGGCATCAGCCAGGGTCCTGGCAGGAAACAGACACAAGGATAGCAAGGTACTTGAGGGCTGCCACAAGCAGGGAGTAAAGGACCAATACTGGGCTTGAAGGGACAAGGGGAGGGTGTGGTACCAAACCTCAGAAGTCGCCTGACTGGAGCCCTAGCCCTTGGCAGAGAAGCCCAGCCATTGCCAACCCACAGCTAGGAGGTGGGCACTGGGGAATGAATTTCCTGACTCTCTCAGCTGCCAAACTCATTTAGTGTCTGGTGGATCCTGACCAGCAGCCAGGGCAAGTGCCTAGGACCAGCCTCCTAGGGGGAAGTGGAGGGAGAGGAGGGGACCTGGGGAGCACATGGAGCATCCTGCATGCCTGGATGTGGCTGGAGAGTTGACAAGACAGTCACCATAAATGCCTGGCACAGTAACATTCACTCACTGTGGGCATTTACTTGTCCAAAGGCCACAATGCAACTTTATTCTTGGTGGCAAAAGCCAGAATAAAAACAAGACATGGTCATCTAGTCAGAGTGAAAAACAAAACTTTTACAAAATTGACAGGTAACATTTATTAAAACGTCATACAAAAGGGCATGGTCTCTTCTATAAGAAGAAAATATTAAACAGTAACATTCAATTAAGTAAAACCATGCTGTACACTGAAGACAGCAATTATATAAAGACAAAACTATTCAACTTTTGCAACACAGGCATAACATTTCACAAAATATCAATAAGATATGCACCTAATGATAATCTGTTTATCATTAAATGGTTTTGCGGCCTAAGAGTCACCTGACTTGCATAAATAAAGTAATTTTCTGGAAGAAACATTGGGAACCTCATAAAAGGAAAGAAGGCAGCAGCAACTGACATGACATAGGCTTCAAGCAAAATTTTAAAAAAGTCACATTTGCAAAATGTGTTCCAGCATCTTCCCGAAGGGCACTATCAGTAGAGATTTGAAACAAGAAACCTGTACCTTTAAATGTATAAGTAGCAAAGAAGAACACCTGAACCCTGGTTTCACTGAACGAAGTCACTCATGAAAACAACCTAAATCACAAAAATCAGTGGAACAGAAGGGGGCTGACGGAAGCACATCTCTTGGTTTCCAGCATTCCTAAAGTATCAGAGAGCTCTCACGAGCAAACACCTGGGTTTGTGACAGAGGCGCCCTCCCCGCCCGCCTGAGCTGTAGCACACACTCCCCCCACCCCCGGACAGCAGAGGCTTGCTGTGCCTCCACCTCCCCTCCGCAGCAGTTTGGGGTATGCCATTCTCCACAGCAAGGAGCCACTCAGGGCATGCAGCTTTCCCAATCAGCTAGAAGCCTGCCCAGGGTCAGTGAAGTTCAGCAAATGGAGCCCCTTTGCACAGATTCCTTTAAAGCAAAAAGTGGCCAAAAGGAACTAGAGATGAGATCTAGAAATCAGAACGCAGGCTAGGAGCGTAGGAGAGGGCAACTGCAGCACTCAAGGAGCAGTTACACGGTCTTCCTCAGGTGGACAGCGAGACCTACATTACCAAGTGAATTACCGGGATGTGTCCCCCTAAAATTAAAGGCATGGAACACGCAGGATGTTAAATGCCATTGGTGGTATCTTGAAGCTCTTTCCCACTGGGACTGGAAAAACAAACAGTCAAGACTCAAAATAGGGGACAAATACCTTGGTTGTAGGCCCTTGAAACAACCCCTGAAAGACTGTTTAAAAATTTTCACCCACAATTATCCAAACTCATTTAGAAAGATAAGAATTTCCTAAAGCTGTATTTTCTTCCAAGGGGAGAGACACCACTGTAACCCAGTGACAGGGGTGGGGAGGGTGGAGGAGGAATGCAGTATAGTCTCTCAATCCTAAAAAGCAGAATTTACAAACATTCACTTTCAACGTCTGGACTACGGTTACCCTCTTCCCTGCCTCCTGAATGTGGCCAGCACCTCAGATACCCAACCATCTCACAGTCTGGCTGACCGATGAACAACCCAACTGTCAGAAAAAAATTAAGAAAGATGTAAGAAGCTTATTTAAGTTCTACATTTAGCAGCTGATGTTCATTTTTGGATTTCAATTAGATACTCTTCAAGCACATTAAATAAGTTCCAGCACAAATGACTGCTTCCAAACTGTCACCTGGGGGCTGGCCACACTCCTGCTGAACAAAAGTTCTTTGTTACCACGCAGAACCAGGGTGCTGATTCAGCATTACTGAAGAATCGTGATTTTCCCAGAAGTTTGATTCTACCTCAGACTCTTCTCCCCAAATGTCCCAAAGCTCATTTAAATGCAACTTTTAAGAGGAAACAGCACACCAAACTTTCTCAACAGCAGAAACTGTTTTGCTAATACCATGGGAGCAGTGCTCAGCTTTTGGCAGAATGGAATGGCTGCACTGTCTTAGTATGGAAATTTGCAGGAGCAATAAAAGAACTTTTCACACATAATGGCTAGGATTATACCTAAAACCCATTGGCCTCTAACATGAGAAACAGAAAAAGAGCAACTGAGTTTGGATTGTACAGTCACCTTTCACACTCTGTCAGGTACACAGAGAAAGGACTGTTAACTGGCAAGTTTCAACACCAAGAGAAGATGATATTAATGTGGCAAACAACCAAGAGGTAATATCTAGTTTCTAGGTTAAAAAAACTATATATATGTATATATATATTTATAATAAAGTTTTAAATACAAAGTGCTTTTTATATATTGAGAATGATACAGTGTTAGTGAATAGATCCCTGTTTTGTAGTCTTGATTACAAGAATTAACTGCTAAGTATTGTCTTTCCCCTTTCCAGATAATGTTCAACAGGTAAAACTACCCTGGTGTTAGGAGCTTAAGGGTGAGAGGCCGCTGCCAGCAATGCTTATCGTATTAGAGCAAAGCCAAATTTTTAAAACAAAATTTCACTTCAAATCCAACAGAAATCATTTTTAAGGATAAAAAAAGTTTCTACTTACAAGGAATACACCTATAATTTTATGAAAAGGTGATATAATAGTAGCACCCTGTCCTATGCTGGTAATAACCTCATGTATGTTAAACAGGTTAAAAGCATTCTGAACATATGCCTTCATTTGAGCCTAAAACACCTGATCAATTGGTAGAAAAGGTCTCAGAATAGCTGCTTTTCTTTTTTGCTAGGTGTACTATGTGGACTTGTAAATTTATGCAGTTTTTATCTGTAACTTGGGAGCATGATTCTGTAGAATATTTTGCTAAAATTAGGACTCCTTCATTCCCCTTTAACACATATTCCAGCACTTATAAAGAACTGGCAGTATTAGCTCAGTGTAACTTTCTGAAAACATATCCCCCCCACCAGTGTATTTTCAAGACTCTTCTTGGGCAATTTCACCCCCACCCCCAAGTATAACCCACACTCATAAGATTATGCTTTTCCCTTACTCTGACAGTGGAGTGTCCCCAGAGCACTCTGTTAACTCCTGAAGTCCACAGTTAACCCTCAGCCATGACTTCCGGCTCCTTCCCATGAACAGTGGTCAATGGCTGCCCTTGTTGGGAAGCACCATAAACTAAGGGCAACAGATGGGGTGCTCCACGTTCCGTGGTCCTCTGACCACTCACAGCAAGCTAGATGTCTCCTAGGCAGAGTAGATCCCAGTGCACAGATGCTACCGTTAAACAGCATGTGGGGCAGCAAACCAATTAGAAACACTTACCTCTGGCACCCAAAAGAATTACAAGACACAACAGTTCAACTCAATCTTAGTACTAACACAAAACTGTGCCTTATCAAAGAATTTGGAACTTGACAGTGGCTTCTTACAGAAGTTGAAGCTTGTACCATAAATTATTTCAGCCTTTGAATGTCACCCTGCTAGTATCTTCATAGTTTCAAAAAGAATAAAACCAAACAATTTCTCGTCCTAGAAATATTTGTAGCTTTTACATAAGTAGCATTTCACTCAGTGAAGCAGCTACCAAAACAAATCCACATTACCTAAGTATCTATAGTAAAAGCAAACAAAACAAAATTTCAACATGATCTTGTAATAATGAGTGACCAAAAACTGCTGCCACCTGAAATGGAACTGGTGGGTTAGAGTCCAGTTCCAAGTGCAGGTCTCTCCATCATCAAGTTCACCTGCCTCAATCACAACTGGCTTAAAGGGTTCGCTTGCCAGCTGGCCAGTGGGTTAATGTATTGTCATTACCCACTCCAAGCCAGCACTGAACATACAAATTTGAGGAATTAGATTTTTTAATTGGCCTACTTAGAGCTGGTCTTTCAGAAATATCTTCCTTTTTTTTTAAAGCTTCTCTCATAATAGCAAGTAGCACACATCATCTGTGCCCAGATTTGCATTAATTACCATAGTTTATTTTTGTGCATGCCACTCAAGGGCCAGATCCTATTTTTAGTTAGCCTCAGTTGTATTCTGCTCAGCCTTTGCAGCTTCATAGGACTTAGTACAAGAAGTCACATGCCTGTGGAAACTGTCCCTCCACATAAATCTCTTTGTACAGATATTACACTCATACGGCTTTATGCCTGTATGAATTTTCATGTGGCCCACGAGATGGTGCTTCATTTTGAATTTCTTACCACAGACACCACAGCCGTAAGGCCGAAGACCGAGGTGCATGCTCATGTGTCGATCTCTCTGACTCTTGTGGGTGAAACTTTTCCCGCACTGACAAGGATACAGCTTGTCAGTGGCTGAGAATCCTAAGTGAGAAGCTTCTTCTTTAATCCCTGCTACCATCTCAATATTCTCACTGTAGCCTGCTGCGAGGGCAGCCTCTTGTCTGTGCCCAATTAGATTCCCATCTGACCTCTCTCCAGAAAACTCTTCCATGGAAGAGCCATAGAAATCCACCTGCTCATCATAATTGCTTTCATCAGCCTGTTCATCAAACTCTGCTTCCACTTTCTTCTCCCTGATGTGAAAGTCCTCCTCCACCCCCGAAGGCTGGACTGAATGCTCTGTCTGCATGGTATTGATAGACTCAGTAACCTGGTGCTCATCGTAGGCTGCATGCACGTCCATGCCCTCGCAAGCCTGCTCCAGGCGCTCAGGCTTCACATGGATCCAGCGTTTGTGAGCCATTATGCTGGGCTTGCTGTACATGGGCCGGGTGTAGTGGAACTCAGCACTGTCGCTGGCCCCCTCCTCTCCATCCTGGCTTGCCATTTCAGTGCTCAGCCGGTCATGCTCAGTGGACGAGTTGCTAGGCAGGTACTCGTGCTCAGTGAGCTGAGATGACAGCTCGTCTTTGGTGCTTTCTTCTTCGTTCTCTCCATCCCTCAGTTCTTGGGCTTTGGGGAAATCAGTGTGGCCCCCAGAGCCCAGCTCAAAGCTCTCCACCAGGCCATTGTAGCTACTACTACTTGGAGACTGGTGGTCACTGCCATGATTTAGCTTCTGACAGAGGACTGTAGGGTTTCCCTCTAAAACCTCAGTGCATTTATCCACCACATGCCACATCTGGAGGAAGCTGGCTGCTGTTAAGTAACTAACAATTTCTGGAGCGGGCATTACTAGGCGACCTGTATAACTAGATAGGAGAATGTTCTCAAACACTCTTGGATTCATTACATCAGGCAAAACAATTCTCCTGCTGTTTTTCAGGAGTACTTGGTCACAAAAGTAGGGTGAACTGGCAGCAAGAACAGCTTTGTGTGCCTGGAAAATGTGGCCCTGGACAACAATGGAGACGTCACATAGTTGTCCCTGCTGGCGCTGCTGGTTCAGTTTCTGCAGAATAGTGCTGGAAAAATCAGGAAATTCTACTCGAAAGGAGTTTGTTCCAGGCTCCATTTCATCACAAATCTTGATCAGTGCTACAAGAGAATGAAAAATTGGTATGAATTCCAGCCCAAAGAGAAACTTAATCCATCCCCCCTCTCCCTCATTAAGAAAACACAGACAAGCTCCAAAGTTCCATAAAACCCTTCTGCTTTTGGGCACTAGGAGGTGAGTCATTCCCCAGAGCAAGGTTTACCTGGAAGAGGGTGCCATAAGCAGGAGCCACCCACCACCGCACAGCGTTCTTAATTCTGCCCATGTCTGTGGGTAAGAAAATAATATCCACGGGACTGTATCTGTAAGCTACACAAATCCCCTAAGCAAAGCAAAGGGTATTTAATCAAAACAAACATTGATTTTTATTAAAACAACTGAATTTTAAGCCTCAGATCCAACTCACACTTGCCAAATTGTGGTGAGGGAAGGAGAGTTGTGAGAAGAGGACTGGGGTGTAGCTCAGTAGTAGAACGCTTACCTAGGACACCAAGGCCATGGATTCAGTACCCAGCCCCACCACCACCACCAACAGAAATTCCAGGAGGAAGGAAATGCACATAGAAAGGCTCTCAGGAATGAATCTGGCAACAACAGAAAGGAGATGAGGGAACTAACGTAGTAGGTGAAGGCAATTCAATCTTTGATCTTTCTGCATCAAATGGGTTATATGCTGAGGCTCAAACAAAACAATGCAGGTTTCTCTAATTGCTGTGAGAATTTTAGTCCTCTAAGATTTTCTGATGATGAGAGGCAGAATTAACCTGCAAAGCAAGGTATTCTATCTATTCGGTGGACTCCAAACTGCTTAAAGAGTTATAGACTAACAAGGATAGTAAATATTGTCCTTACTGCTGAATGAATGCAATTAGAAAAAGAAAAGCTACAGCAAAGAATAAATGATTACCTGTGTTGTACTGTTACTGTAAATACATTTTGTAGAATACGTTCTGCGTTAAAAGACAATTCCTAAGGCTGGGCGTGGTGGCGCATGCCTGTAATCCCAGCACTCGGGAGGCTGAGTCAGGAGGATCACTGTGAGTTCTAGACCAGCCTGGGCTACATAGTGAGTTCCAGTTAAGTCTCAACTACATAGTGAGACCCTGTCTCAAAAAAAAAAGAGAGACAATTCCTAACAACACAAGATGAACTCTGCTAGAGATGTGCCCATATCCTATAATTCTGTAGTAAACTGAAGCTGACAAAAAGATTCAAATGATGTATTGCTATTTGTCACCTTGCTATAACACCACAAACATTCACTGCTAAATACCAAGTTTTCTAACTATGAGTTAAAGAGTCAGACAACTCAGATACTGTAAGCCAACCTTCAGGGTTAGGGAGAGGTAAGAGAAGAAACTAGTGTCTCCTAATTATTATATGCCAGGGACTACACACTTTTTTTTTGTTTCATTTTAGTCTTTATATAATTACTCTGTAAATGTAGGGCTTAATATTTATAAGTTAGGCCATTGTAAGTAACTTTCCCAAGGTTACAAGCTAGTTTGTATTAAGTTGAGATACGAATCCAAGTCAGTACGACTCCCAAGCCTGGAGTATTTTTCCTATCACATCACTCTGCCTTCTCTCAGATGATGCCGAAATGTTACATCAGTCATGAGTAATTTTAAGACAGTGTTTTTAGTTTTTGGTACCGGGGATCAAACTTGGGTCCTTGTACTTGCGAGGCAGGTGCTGAACCACTGAACTAAATCCCCAGCCCAAGACAGTGTTTTTAGAACAAAACATTAATTTATGGTTTCATATATCTTAAAACATTCCCTAACAACTTAAGACAAAATAGGCCATGAAATAAGACTATTTAGGTATCTGCAATTTTTTTCGGTACTTGTAATTTCAAAAGGAAAAACTGACTGTATATATTTAAAATCTGAGCGCTATCTCTAGGTGAATATATTCTTTGCTAGTCTTTTTTTTCTCTGTACCGGGGATTGAACTCAGGAGCTTTTGCTTGCGAGGCAGGCAGACCTCATTCCGATATGTATTACCAAACTGCTTTCCAGGAAGCTTCTACCAAGTCACACTAATACTAACAGTAAATGATAGTGTCTACTTCTCACACCTTTAACAAGACAGGATGTCATTAAATCAGAGAAAAATTCTGCAACGCTCCTAAGTGAATAACCTATGATTCACTGCTATTTTAATCTGCATTTTCTCAATCAGAAATCAGACTGCTAAGTCTGTACTCAAGTTACTGGCCATTTGAACTTTTTTCTATAAATTATCAGTCACAGCCTTTGCTCAAATAAATTGGGCAAGTAATATTGATTTTTAAGTGTTTCTATTAAATCCAGGAAATTGCTACCCTGTGTTGCAATTTTTTTTTAGTTAGCTAATATTATTGAATTTGTTGCCACAGTAAAATTTATATAAAATAACCACTCATTTATTTCATGGCCCTAGAGTTTTGTAACAGATATAGAAGGGCACTCTGAACTCCAAATTATAAATTATTATAAATAATAAAATGCTCATTGTAAACCTACGAGTAACTACTAATAAAATCATTAAAATATATTTGAAGAGGAAGAGACTAAAAATGATATTAGACACACACACACAAGCATAATAATAGTAAAAGGAGATTCAGAAATAATAGATTTTAAGTAAAAAAGCACTATAAAAGATAAAGGACATTAATCTAACAAGAGAACACTGACATACACAAAGCAAAGCAACTGTAATAAGAAACAGTTCTCGATGAGAAAAAACTAAAAAAAGAAAAAAAAAAAGAAAAGAAAAGAAATAGAGTTCTGCAATAATAGGTGAAGACTTTCATGCCCTACTTTTAACAATGGATAGAAAAACAGAAAATCTGAAAAGAAACTCAAGGTTTGAACCATATTATAAACCAATTAGACCTAAGATATATAGAAACATCACCCAACAAGTGCACATGGAACATTTTCCAAGATAGACCATAGGTTAGGCTGTAAAACAAGTCTTACCACACTTTAAGAGACTGAAATCATACAAAGCATTTTTTTCTGACTGGCCACAATAAAATAAAACTAGGCATCAGGGTCAGGGATTTAGCTCAGTGGCACTGCACTTGCTTTGCAGGCATAAGGTTCTGAGTTCGATCCCTGGTACCAAAACAACAAAAAACTAGACATTAAAAACAGAAAACTAAAAATCTGACAAACATGGAAATCTTCACTTTTAAATAATCAGTAGGTCACTGGAGGAATCATAGAGAAAATTAGAAAATACCTTGAGACAAATTAGAACTAAATTACAACAAAAACTCATGAGATACAGCAAAATCAGTACTTGAAAGGAAATTTATATCTAAAAATACCTACCTTAAAAAAGACCTTAATAAGAAAAGGGGAAACAAACCAAAAGTCACTGAAAGGAAGGAAATAATCAGAGCACAGAGCCAGGCATGGTGGCATATACCTGTAATCCCAGTACTCTGGAGGCTGAGGCAGGAGGCTTGCCATGAGTTTGAGGCCATTTGCTTTTTAATTTTTATTTATTTATTTTTGCCAACAGGGTCTTGCTGTGTAGTTCAGGATTGCTGTGAGCTTACTATGTAGCTCAGGCTGGTCTCCAGTTCACAGCGATCTTCCTGTCTTAGCCTTCCAAAGTGCTGCTGATTACAGGTATTTGACACGCCCAACATTCACCTTTCTAAATTCTCCCTGCTTCACCAAGCAACATGCAGAAATAGCATCTGACAAAATTCAACAGCCCTTCATGAAAAATCATTGAACAAACTAGAAACACTATACAAGGAAACCATTTCAACATGATAAAAACCATATGAGCCCAGCATGGTCGTGCAGGCCTATAATCTCAGCACTCCAGGGTGAGTCCAGAGACCCCCCTCGAGTTCAAGGCCAACCTGGGCTACATAGTTTAAGATCAGCCTGAACTACATAGTGAGATCCTGTCTCAAAAAGTCAAAAACAGGGCCAGGGATTTAGCTCAGTGGTGCTGTTGCATGCTTTGCAAGCTCAAATTCTAGAATTTGATCCCTGGTACAAAACAAACAAACAAAAAAATCCAAAAACAAAACTACTCATGAAAAAAACTTTATAGATAACAATCAGTGGTCAAAGAATGAAAAGTTTTTCATCTCAGATCAGAAGACAAAAATGCCTATTTTTACCACTTCCATTTAATATAATATTGGAAGTCCTAGCCAAAGAGATGAAGAAATAAATGATATCTAAATTGGAAAGAAGCAAAATTATTTCTGTTCACAAGTCATGACTGTTTCTGTAGAAAACCCTGGAGATCACATAAAACTTAGTACTAACATATTCAGCACAACAGGATACAACATCAAAGAAAAATCAGTTGTATTTCTATATATGAACAATGAACAAGCCAAAAAAAAAAAAAAACCCCTCAGGAATTAACTAAGGAGATAAAAAACTTGTACAATGAAAACTACAAAGCACTAGAAAAAATACTACACATAACCATATACAGATTCAGTGCAGCCCTATCAAAAACCCAAAGGCAAGCTGGGCATGGTGGCACATACCTGTAATCCTAGCACTCAGAGGCAGGAGGACTGCTGTGAGGTTAAGACCAGGCTGGGCTACATAGTGAGTTCCAGGTCAGTCTCAACTACATAGTGAGACCCTGTCTCAAAAAACCAAAAAAAAAAAAAAAAGAAAAAGAAAAAGAAGGCAATTTTGTCTGAAATAGAAAACCCCATCTTATAATTCATATGGAATTTCAAGGGACCACACAAATGGCCAGAGCAATCTGGAAACAAAGTTGGAATACTCATGTTTCCCAATTTCAAAACTCTCTACAAAGATACTAACATCAAAACAGTGTGGCAATGGAGTTAGGTCAGGTACCTCGATCAGTGGAATAGAATTGAGAGCAAAGAAATTTTCACATCCATGGCCAGTCTGAGTTACAATAAATGTACAAAGAAAGTACAGTTTTTTGTTTGTTTTTTTAGCTAAGAGTACCAGGGAAACCGGATATTCACATGCAAAAAAAGGAAGTTAGACCTTTACCTTATACCATATATTGCCACAGGCCAAGC